TGTGTCACATCATCTCTCCTGAGCTCCTCCATGGTCACAGTGAACATGGGGCTTTTCTGACTGTCCCAGATGGAAACACGGTCCTTTGTCACATCTTCCTCTGATCCAGTGGTCACAACAAGGACCCTGAGGGTGTTTCAAACAGCCCCTGGACACCCACTCCCTGTGTTTCTCCCACCATGTGTCCCAGCCACACTGACTGGCCCTGGATCTCTCTTGGTGGCCACTCACTGCAGGTGGACACTGATGGAGAAGTGGCTGCCAGCAGGAGCCTGCAGGGCATCTCTGCCCACCCAACCCAGGCCTGGCCTGGGAGCCGCTGATACCTGAAGGGGCTGAGGGAGCCAGGTCCAGTCTCACTTCCTCTTATACAGCCCCCAGTCCCACTCCTGTGATGACCTGTTCATTCATCAATCTATGAATGGAATAATCCATTCCTGAGGTTGGAGCCCTCCTGACCCTACCACCTCTGAAAGCCTCCCCTTTTCAATACTACCATCACGGATGATGTTTATGTGTCAACAGGAGCTATAGAGGAGACACATACTCAAACCTCACGCTCACCATCCTCTGTGACAGGTCTTGCTGAGTGACACTTCATTTCACTCAAGTGGGACTACATGGACCAGAGCAGAGCACGGCCTGAGAGACACATCCAAATACCCACACCCTCTCACCTGGGGTGATGATCACCTTCACTTGGACACCAAGGTCAGTTCCACTTCTCTCAATCCCACACCAGTAAGTGTCGGCGTCATCTTTCCTGAGGTCTTCCATGGTCACGGTGAATCTGAGATCTTTGTGACTGTCCCTGATGGACAGATGGTCTATCTTCACTTCATCCTCTGATCCACTGGTCACGATAACGATCTTACAGCTGCTCCAGTGAGCCCCTCGACACCACCACTTCCTGTAGCTTTCCCATCCAGAATCATAATGACACTGCACCGTCAATGATCCCCACTCCGGGCCACTCACCTTCCCTGGACCACTGAGGGCACTTCCAACACTGGAGTAGCCTGAAAAACACAAGTACATGCACCTGTCACTTCCCAACCACGCCCAAGGCCACAACCTCCTGCCTTGGGAATAGCTCCTGAATCCAAGTGTCTCATGAGTTCCATCCCAGTCAAGGAAGAAATATACTTTCCCCATGACAAATGTTTTTCCTTCAATGTCCCAGTGGGTCAAGGTCAGCAGGAAAATCACTGCAGAGCTCAGCCACAGACCATGAAAGAAATAACAATGTTGACACTGAATAACAACTTCTTGTAATTCACTACTCTCTTCCTCCCTGTGGCCAATAAATCTTTGTATCCTTTTGAAACTACTTTTGTATTATAAAAGTAGTATCTGTCTCCCCATCATCTGATGGGGAGAAAAAGACCCATTTCCACAGGAGAATGATGCTGCCTTGACCCTGGACTGTTCCTGGCAGCTGGAAGGGTGCCCAGTGGCTCTGTTGGAGTGACAGCCTGGAGGACTGTCTTTGATGTCCACTGAAACAGTGATGCCAGATGGTCTCCAGGGACTATGGAGTCTCAGAATGTCTATAAGTTGTTGTAAATTCCAGTTTTAAAATTCCTAGTCAGAGCTAACCTTTAGAGTAAATCAGGTGAGGGTCAGGTACAAACAGCATCACCCCTTCCATGTCCCCTGTGCCTTGTAAGATTTTTACTAAACTCAATGGCAACCATTCAATGAGGCTTAAAGGGAGAGAAGCTGACAGGCCTCATTAGCTCTTTTTTTCTAGACAATCTGCTCAAGGAAACACTAGACTGCATGATATTTTCACCCTTTAAATCTTTGGCTTGAAGGGACTCAAAACAATGGAAATACTTTACAGACACCCCAGTCTCAAATCCTTTAAATTCGACTAACCCAAAGGGAGACCCATTTACAGAAATGATATATTCTGATGATTTATGCAGGCCTTAACAATACCTGAGATTGTTGTGACATAAATGTGAGATGGAACTAGAAGTGCCCTGGAGCCCTTGAGGAGCTATGGGTGCCATTCACACTGGGGGAGAGAAGGTGCGGCCTCTTATATGCCAGGAGACACCCAGTCATGGTTAAAAGGATAGACAGGCTGTGCCAGAGGGCCTGGGTGTGAATCCTGCCTGTGACACCTACAAGCTCTGAGAACTTGGGCCAGCGAACCTCTCTGTGCTTTTGGTTCCTGTAAGTGGGGATAATAACAGTATCTACCCCTCGTTGTTATGTAATATTGGTTATTATTATGTTACCCCTGGACAAATGATACTTTAAACATCACCAGAATGTCTGGTAAAGCCAGAGTTCATCCTGGTAGGAGGTGGAGACAATTTCATCTCAGACAGATCCGCTCAGCCAGGTGAGGCCTGTCAGGGACCAAAATTGGGCCATACACTCAGTTCTGCTTTCTATGGCTTCTGAAGGCAACTAAGAAACTACACGGATCCCTTTGAGGAAAGATGAGTTTTCAACGTTTCATTTGTGAACTAAAAAAAAATGCATACACCACAAAGGAAAGACACATTAAGGTAAATATTTAAAATATATATATATATATATATATATCTGAAAATTATTTAGCAGAAATAAAACACATCTGAAAATTATTTACAGAAAATAATATTGGAAATTGGAGAGAAAAGTTCCTTCCCAAACCTGATCTGACCACAGATAATATGAAAAACAGATAGACTCATTACATTTTCACAAAAATGCAAACACTGTACATCCAAACTTGTTGAGATGGCCAGAGCTATATTCAAAAGTAAATTCTTGGAAAACAGTGGCAATTAGGGTTAAATGTACAGTTACCGCGTGGCTCAAGAATTACTTTCCCAGCTATACCCAAGGGGATTTGAAACTTTACCTCCACATAAAAAAACATGTTCCAAAGGCTCCCAGGAGTATTATGGACAATAAACAAAGGCAGAAACAGTTCTACAGTCCATGAGCGGATGGACGGAGGAAGAAAACGTGACCCTCTCCGAAATAGTATTTAACCATAAAGAACAATGGGGTTCTGACACTCGCTACGACACTGGTGAAGTCGGGAACATCCTGCTCAGTGAAAGAAGCGAGACACGAAGGTCACGTGTTGTGTGAGTCCACCCCCGTGAAATTCCATACGAGACAAGGTCGCAGACACAGGGAAGGGGACTAGTGGATGCCGAGGGCCAGGGGAGTGTGAGTGCTGTGGGGTTTCCTTGTGAGGTGATGAAAATGTTCTGAAATTAAATAGCGGTGGGGGTTGTCCAACGTGAATTTCAGAATATATCACAAATCACCGGGTTATCCACATGAAAATAGGGAATTTTTTAGGGTGTGTGAGTTATATCTCCATTTTGTAAAGAAGAAAAAAGTATATCCTTAAACACGTTTTCATTATTTTAGAAAGAAAGAAAACTATCAGAGTCTTTAACTTAGAAAAGATAGCAAAGAGTAATCCTAAGAAAATAAGAAGAAATTGAACATAGGAGAAATTAGTAATTAGAAAGTTTAAAAAGTAACAGTACCCAACTAAACCTGACTAGTCTAACGTGGGGGGAAAGAGGAGGCTGGGGGAAAGGAGAAGCAGCAGTGACGTGGGAAAGCTTCTGCCAAACGTAAAAAGTGAGTACGGTGCTCCTCGGTGTCAGAGAGGCTGACCTCCTTCCAAGGGCCACTTCTGCAGATCAAGTCCCTGTTACAAAACGGAGTCACATTTGCATGTCAAGTGCTTTGTCACCTCCTGCTCTGATCCTGCAGTCACAACAAGGACCCTGCAGGTGCTCCAAACAGCCCCTGGACACCACTTTCGCTGTGTTTCTCCCACCTTGTGCCCCAGCCACACTGACTGGCCCTGGATCTCTCTCAGCGGCCGCTCACTGCAGATGGGCACTGATGGAGAAGCAGCTGCCAGCAGGAGCCTGCAGAGCTGCCTACCCAACCCAGAGCTGGCCTTGGAGCCGCTGTACCTGAAGGAGCCAGACAGGCTTCTGGGGTTTGTCCCCTCTGTCTAGATGCTGTGTAGTTTCCCTGATGCACACACCCCACGGGCAGCTGGAAGATCCTGCTCATGGCCAGAGCTCCTGCGTGATCTCTCTCACCTGACCCTTGGCCATGGCAAATGCGTCCCCTGGCAGGCCTCACGGGGGAAGCTGCCCTTCCTTTCCACACTCAGTGCCCTGGAAGGAGCTGCTGTGAGACTCCCCACCCTCAGCTGGCCATGCTCTTATGCCATCCAGCCCAGATTCCCCTTCCAGGGTACTTTTCTTAGGGAGACTTTGGCCAACACCTTCCCCGGACATCCCTGCCCCGACTTCCTTATGCAGAAGGAAAGGTGGAACAGGAAACTGGACCGTTGTCCACTCTAACTCTAGAGTGGACTTTTCCACTCTAGATTTCTCCTTTGCTTCTTCCCTCTGCCCACCCTGCAGCCTCATTGAAGTGTGAGAAGCTTTCCTGTGGTAGCCCCTCAGGCTGGCATGACCCCTGTGTCTGCTGGATACACCTGACCTTCACCCAACTCCACAGTTCCCCAGGCCAAGAGGAGGATACCAGGGAGCCTGAGGCAAGAGGATTGCTCGAGCCCAAGAGTTTGAGGATGTTGTGAGCTATGACACTACGGCACTCTACCCAAGACGCCAGAGTAACACTCTGTCTCCAAAAAACAGAGAGAGAGAGAGACAGAGAGGAGGGGGTGAGGGTAGCTGGCTCTTTGAGCTCCAGCTCAGGAAGTGCTGCTGCATCTCCACTTGTCCTCAGCTCAGCCTGGTGGGTGACACTCCTCGGCTCTCTGCAATTCAGCTTTCACCTACAGAACTCATCAAAAGTTCTGCTCTCACCTCTTAAACACATGGAAGACTCCTCATTAGAAAAGCTCTCTCCTTCCCCCAAGACACAGAGCCCAGCCTCCAGTACCCACACTCCCTTCAGTTGTGTTACTGAACTAAGACTGTCCGTGGAGACATCCCTGGGCTCCTCCTCCTCAACCACTACCCTTGTTAGCAGATACACACTATACACTCAACAGCCCTAATCCTGATGTTCTCAAGGTTGAGTGCAAACTCCTCGGTGTGGGCTTCAAGACGTGGCCCCGAGCTTGTCTTTGCTGCCTCTCTGTCTTTCGTCACCCAGTCAAGCACTCAACATCCCAGCTGCCCCCTGAGGGGGAATTGTTCCAGCATTCTGGGATAAATTTAGGGCTTCTCAAGCAGGGCTGATTTTGCCCCTAGTAGACATTGGGCAGTACCTGGAGACATTTCTGAGTATCAAGCGGGGAGGGACAGCCATTGACATTACTAGGGAAAGGCCAGGGATGCTGCTGAACACCCTACAAGGCACAGGGCAGACCCGACCCCAACACACAACTGAGAAGGAGCTGGCCCCAAGTGACAATGTAGGGGGAATGACTCCCCCAGGGGGCCAAACCCCAAGCAGAGCACCTGGTTGCTAACTTTGCCTGGGCAGGGAGATGGTCAGAGTGACAAGGCCACATGGGCTCCTGGGCAGTTGCTAAGCTCAGCTGAATGGTCATGGAAGTTGACACTGATCACAGCCAGTAGTCCCATGATGGATTTCCCCATGAGAAGCCGCCAGAATTTTGAAAGTTCTCCAAGAAATTCCCACTAACTATGTCAGTCTACATCCACAGAGTGAGGGTCCCCAAGAACTTACAGGCAACCACCCTGAATCTCTCATCTGCCCACACACTTCAGCTGCCATCAGGGAATGAGGGCTTCTTTTCCTCCTTTTAAATCCCTGACAAGTGCTCCTAGTGATTCCTTGTTTTTCTCTAGGATGCAGAAGAAGCCTTGAATGAGGAGGTAGAGTGTCATCCCAATGAGGGCAGATGAACTAGCACTGTTCACCCTTCCTCACTGAGCTTCCCTATTGTGATGCATTGAATGTTTGTGTTTCTCAAAATTCACATGTGGAAGCCCTGACCTCAGGTTGACAGTTTTTGGAGATGGGGGCTTTGGGTAGTAATGAGGTTTAGATGAATTGATGAGGGTGGGGCTCTCATAATGGGATTAGTGCCCTTATAAGAGACACCAGAGAGC